ACTTTTACAATTAATGCATAAAGTCTATTTAAACATGGGTCGAAAAATGCGTGGTTTCCGAAATACAGGGTGTTTAAATTTACTTTCTAAAATAGTTTTTTTTAAATATTTCGAACAATATTTGATGTATAACAGTGAAAATTGGTATACAAGGGTTTTTTGGTACGACAAAACGAACCATAGTTTTACTGTAGCCGCTAGAGGGCGTTCTTTACTGTACCTGTAGTGTATTAAAATGACCGAAAATTTTTTCTTAGTACAACTTTTTGCTTTTTGAATAAAAAAAATTATTCTTCGCACTTTTCAACATAAAAAAGCTCTCTTGTGAATTTTCGTTATAGTTAGCTGTTTTTGAGATATTTCGATTTTTAAGGTTCGATGCATTTTTAATTATTTATGATAAAATAACGTTAAAAAGTCAGTATCTCGATAATTTTTAGAAGTAGGCTGCGCCTGCAAATATTTTTGAAATTGAAAGCAGGTTAAACGTCAATTAGTTGACAGTTAGTTTAAGTAACGTTTTATGGACCGATGAGTCATGCTTCACTAGACGTGGAGTGGTAAATTTTCATAATCAACATATTTGGTCGCATGAAAATCCGCAAGCAGTTCGGGAAAGAAATTTTCAGCATGAATTTAGTGTGAACGTGTGGATTGGTATCTACCGTAATCGACTATTTGGACCCTACCTTATGCCTGTAAGGTTAAATGCTGCGACCTTCTTGGAATTTTTGAAGGCTGAACATGCAAATATGTGGGATGATGTTATGTTAGATTTAAGAAGATTGGCCTGGTTCCAGCTTGATGGTTATCCAGCTCATTATTCGAGAATAGTTAGAAACTGGCTGAACGAAAATTATCCAGAAAGATGGATCGGCCGCGGAGGACCAGTCGCCTGGCCTCCACGATCCCCTGACCTAAATCCATTAGATTTCTTTGTGTGGGGATTTCTAAAAGAAAAAGTGTACCAGACTCCCGTAACCACAAGAGATATGCTAACAGACAGAATCAGGAATGCATGTGATGAAATAAGGCCTTATTTGAATAATGCTATACCACGTTCGACCATTCGTAGATGTGAATTGTGCATTGAACAATTGGGATTACATTTCGAGCAACTACTTTAGATTTTGTATGTTTGTCCTAACTATCCAATAGCATTTTAGTTGTAAATAATTAATTTAATTTGTTAAAAATAATATTGGAAAATTAAACAAATTAATTTTCTGTTTTTTTGTGTTTATTTGGAGTTAGGAATTATTGCTGTGTTTAAAAACACAATCTAAACGATCATCTTAATTTCTTGTAATGCCTAAATCGAAAATGTAAAAAAAATATTATTTTCCCATAAATAATTAAAAATGCATCGATCCTTAAAAATCGAAATATCTCAAAAACGGCTAACTATAACGAAAACTTACAGGAGAGCTTTTTTATGCAGAAAAGTGCGAAGAATCAGTTTTTTTATTCAAAAAGCAAAACATTGCTTTAAGAAAAAATTTTCGGTCATTTTAATACACCACAGGTACAGTAGAGAGCGCCCTCTAGCGGCTACAGTAAAACTATGCCCATGGTTCGTTTTGTCGTACCCTTGTATACCAATATTCACTGTTTTACATCAAATATAGTTCGAAATATTTAAAAAAAACTATTCTAAAAAGTAAATTTAAACATCCTGTATTTCGGAAGCCACGCATTTTTCGACCCAGGGCGGTTGACCTGTTTTTATAACCCTATAGATAAAAGAATACATGTGATATTTTCTGCGATTCGTCATGTTTAATAAGTTGTAGTTGTTCAGATAAGGAGTGATATGTTTTCGATATGGAATTCCAAACGCAAATCTCGTGCAACTATTTTGAACTTTTTGTATGCATTTTTTGGTTCGCGACGATAGCGAACCACCATAGACGACATCTCCATAGTCAAAAAGTGATAAAATTAAGGTACTACACAAATAATATTTTTGTTTGGCTGATAAATGTTTCTTTTAATTCGTTCAAATATCGTTCCAAAAATGATCAGGAGCATCTGAAACGCCAAAAAAAGACGTTTGAGCGATTTTCGTTTTTGTTTTTTGACACTCGCTCCGCCGTCACTGCATTGATACTTAAAAACCACAAACGTAAAGACGGCCAGGGATTAGCAGACAGGCAGATATAGTGGTGAAATTAATTCCACCAAATAAGGATAAACTATTACACTATTACACCTCCATTAAATAATTTTAAACACAAAGATGGTGATTTTTGATTCAAATACCTGTTTGGAAACCAAAGGTGCACAAATTCTTACAAGCGATCTGTATTTTATTGAGGCAGAATGGTGGGTCCCATGGCTTCAGTAATGTCAAGGTCTTGCTGTTACGTCGTTGGGCACGTATACAGCCGCAAGAGTTGTGCAGAACAATAGAAAAAATCATAAACAAAGAAAGGTTCGTCTAACCAACCGCCTGCCGTCGGTCTGATTCGTCGTAAATTCAACGCTTATAGTCAAGGAGGATCCTGTCCAGTTGAATAATTCTTTGTGTGATTAAAAAGAATGAAGTACAAAATACAAGTACGGTATAAATTTATCAGTTGATTGTGTAGTTCAAGGTTAAGCTTCTCGTACACATTAGAATTTTGTTAAGTGATATGGCACATAAGATTCATGGTGGACTATTAACATCCCAAGAAACAGGTATCTCAGTATAATTCGTGCCACATTTTGATTGTGGTGGAAGCTACTTTTCATATAATTTGTATCTACTTGAAAAATGTATGGGGTTGTCCAAAACGGACGCAGGAAGGTAAACGCATATTAAAACAAGAAAGATTGATATTCAAATCAAGTTGGGTACTTTATTTTGAAGGTTCATTTATACCATTTATGTATGAAAAATAATATCGCTCAAATGTTCACCACGACTGGATTTACAGACGTCCACGCGATGGTCGAAATTTTCAATGACATTTTGCAACATGGTCGGTTCTATGGCATTTATCTCGGCAATGATGTTGGTTTTGAGTTCTTGGAGGGTGGCTGGTTTGTTGACGTAGAATTTGCTTTTCAAATATCCCCATAAAAAGAAGTCCAAGGGAGTCAAATCGCACGATCTTGGTGGCCATGGCACATTTCCTCTGCGCGAAACCACACGATCACCGAAGAAGGACTGCAATCGATGGATATTGACGTTGGTTGTGTGGCATGTTGCACCGTCTTGTTGGAAATAAACATCGTCCATTTCCATTCCTTCAAGTTGCGGCAAAAAATAGTCCTCTATCATCACGTGATATCGCTCAGAATTGACGGTAACGGCGTCCCCGGCCGCATTTTCGAAAAAGTAAGGTCCGATGATGCCTTTTGACCACAATGCACACCACACAGTCACTTTTTGAGGATGCATCGGCTGCTCTTGATACTCACGGGGATTTTCGTTCGCCCAGATGCAGCAGTTTTGTTTGTTTACCGTCCCTTCAAAGTGAAATGCGCTTCGTCGCTGAACATGATTTTTGATGAAAAATTGGCATCAATTTGGCGGTGTTCAAGGAGCCAATCTGAGAACGTTCGGCGCGAAAAATGGTCGGCCCGACGCAGCTCTTGCGTCAATTGGATCTTGTAGGCGTGTACATTCAAATCCTTGTGGAGAATGCGGAGCAAACTGGTTCTCAAAATGCCCAATTCTTGGGATCGACGCGTTGTTGGTTGTTTCGGATCGTCTCTCACACTCTCCTTTACAACAGCTATGTTTTCCGGTGTGCGAACGCTCCCTGGCCGGCCAGAGCCTGGCAGATTTGCCACAGAACCTGTTGCCTCGAATTTACGCACCAGACGACCGATGGTTGTTTCGTTTGGGCGGTTGTTGCGACCGAAATGTTCACGAAGCGCGCGAAACGTGTTTTTATTTTTGCACCATTTTTGTAGTGCTCTTGAATAACTTTAATGCGGTCTTCAATCGAATACGACTCCATAGCGATCAATGGTGCACATTCAACTAACAAAATGACATGTCGGTGACAGAAAACAAAGATGGCGTCTATGTCAAATTGACGTTTTCTTTCCTGCGTCCCTATTGGACAACCCTATGAGCACGGGTATTGGAACAAAAACTAAACATAGCATACCCACTAACTACATATTGTCTGTTTTAAAGTGAGTAAAGTTTTAGGTGGAAATAAATAATCAAATCCCACTTTGACAATGTGTACAAAAAACGGCGTCAGTACATCGACTTCACACACAATGATATGAATTATGAATTATTTTAACGTGCTAGCTACGCAAAAGGTTCTAGGCGTTACCCTAAAAATGTTCAAGAGCTTTAAAAGCATTGAAGTTTTGATGAAATTTTGGTATCTTACTACAAAGTTTCATCAAAATTCGATTCTATTTTTGCGAAACTCAATAAACAAATAGCTTTTAACTGACGAAGTACTGCCGGTAGTTATCTCTGTATTTGAAGCAGGATTTTTCACTTCATCCCGGTTTTATAACGTAGAATTTGAAAAAATGTGATTAAAATTGCAAGATTCCACATACGATTCATAATTTCAAGTCACACGCAAATTGATGCGTCATCGATAATTTAGGATAGTAATAACATTTTTTCCAATAATCCACAAAAAGCTTTTAATGGTGAAATCAATTTTAAAGGGGATTATTATTATTTAGCATTTAGTGGAGCTGTTTTTTAAATGCCATTCAACATCGTTGACCAATTTTTTGTAAGGATATTGAATAAAACCGAGAGAAGCATAAATCAATAAATAGACAGCATTTCGTCTGCAAAACGCCATGAATGACTTTATTCAAAAAAAAAACAAATCGGGTTAGTTTTTTGTATCAATTTTATGCAAAAAACGCCAAAGTTCATACCATTTTTTATTTTTTCATTTTTCAATGGCCAACAAAACTGTATTATAAAGCTTTTCAACAAAAGGTTACACGAAGACTCAGCTCCATTACAAATTCTTCTTCAAGAGGGAGATGACTAAATAATGCAAATGTATTTAGAATTTGGGAACAAAAAACGAAGGAAAAACTCAAAGTACGAGCTCTTTCCCGTATTTCCAGGAATGTTTTGCATTACTCAAGATGTAAAACTGAATGAAGGACGTGACACTTTTGCAGATAGTGAACTTGTTCAATTACCTTCTTCAACAACGAAACAAAAACGTATGTTCTTTTCTGAAATGAAACACGTTACCCATTTTAATTACTCTAATCAGTACAACATTTGGCAGCATAATAAAATGATCTCTTACATCAGGAAAATGTCTTGCCTGTCAAGTCACAAATATCGACACACTGGGAAAATATACGAGTAGCTATGCAGGCTTCAAATATGGAATATTATTAAATAGATACTATACGGCGAAAAAGTGCCCAAGGTGTGACACCCTCCAACGATTTAGCATCCTGACTAGAATATCAATGTGACCCACTAAAGATTTTACTACGGTAATGATAAATGCAAGCCGCTATAATGGGTAACCTCGCTTCATACCCGCCGATGCGAATATTTGTCGCTATCTCTGCAACTATTCTGTGTGTGGGCGAAATCCAAGAACTCGAAAGCAAACTCGGCACGCTGGTAGACCGTCGCTGTTCTATGTTACGCTTTCCTGCTCTGAAGGAACTGTATGATGTCAACATAATCATAATAACACATACAGTCCGCTGGGCATGAACACGTTCGCGTCTGGCGCAACCGTATAACAGGAAACGATAACGGTCAGATAATTGCGCTGTACCTACGGTAATACACCGAGCACATTCGTTCTGACGATTTTACGATTTATGGACCGGTTTATACCTATTACTTATTCTGTATTATGAACACAGTAAGCCCCTGGTACCGTAGGGCGGATATGAGATTGCAGCCCCTAAAAACCGAAAAATAAGCGAATAACACAGGCCGACAAAATTTTTACCCACAAACCAAAGTATACATTCCAGAAGGTTTTAAATCTGCATCCGTGGTGCAAATCTCCCAATTGGCTCTAGATTCCGAGATATGTTAGGCCTCTGGTTTTTAGATTATACACCTCGCAGCTCGACAGATGCCTTACATATTGCTCCTATCACTTCTATGCTGATAATCCACAGCTATATACGAGCCCCTTCCCACTTCAGTTGGCCCAACTATTGAAATCTTAGTTTTTTTCTTATCAAACACAAATAATAAAAATGTAGCAGGGTGTGACAGGTTTAAAATATTAAAAATGAATATTTTGATAATATATAGTAGAAAACACCAACTTTATCACTCCCTAATCAAATTTGCAGCATAAAAATAGCACATGTTGCAATTACAGCATATCAACCTATTTTCATTTCAATGCAAAATAAGTCTATAAAGCACAGGAGGCTGTGAAAAATAAAAACCATGACAATTGTTTTTATTAATCACAGCTGTCAGAATACCTTTAAAATAGTTTTGGGTAGTTAAGGTTTTAAAAATGGGTAGAGGAGAGGTTATTAGTGAGAAAATTCGGTTACTGATAATTAATTTTTTTAATTCTGGGAAATCAAACTCAGAAATTGCAACTTTGTTAGACTTATCGCGGTACAGTGTGAGAAATATTGTTAGAATATATAACGTAACTGGTTCAGTTAATATTAAGCCACTATATATAATAATCGTGAAAAACAGGCGTGCCCATTATTTACAAATAAAGTGCTCTGTGGAGTGACGCTGTTGGAAGGAGAATTTCGAGGTCCACAACTCATAGAGAGGCCACAAACTGGGATTTAGCACTTGCAAGGTAAGTTTTCTTATAAAAAAAAGTGAACTAAAAACCCTAAAGTTGCACAACTTGTTTATAGGCCAAAGAAAAGCCACTATTAACTCCACTGCAATAGAAAAATCGGCTTAGATGGGCTAAAGAACATAGACAATGCAATAAAATGGAGTGATGAGGCCCGATTCGAAGTTTGTGTTGGTGACAGTCGCAGTAGAGTTATGCGCAAAAAAAATGAAGCATTCCATGTTGACTGTCCGAAGAGAAAAGTGAAATGTCCAGCATCGATTATGGTCTGGGGCAGTATGTCATCAAAAGGAGTAGGAAAAATTAATTTTATTGATGGAAATGTGGATACAAACAAATATTTGGCAATTTTAGAAGAATCGCTTTTACCAGTGATGGAAGAATGTTTGACATCCGGCCAAGATTTTGTGTTTCAGCAAGATGGTGCAGCGTGCCATACCTCAAAAAGGCTATAAAATGGATGGAAGAAAATAATGTACCACTTTTGAAATGGGTTTCTAGCAGTCCAGATCTGTCACCTATTGAAACTTTGTGGCACGAGATGAAAAAGGTTCTACGACAACATCCGGCTCGTACAATCACCGAACTGAGACACAAGCTTCAAGACATATGGGATTGTTTTAGACCAAATTTTTGCCAAAACTTGGTTAACACTATGCCCCAAAGAATTTTAGCCGTAATAAAAGATAAAGGTGATGTTACCCAATAGTAATCTTTCAATTGTTGCTTTGTTAACTTCGCTCATTTATTCGCACATTGTTTATTTGTTCAGATGTTATAGGTCTAAGTGATTTCAAATATGTATTTTTTACGACTAGATTGTGTCTAAAATGTTTTCGAGAAAATAAATTGTTTCAGAAGTAAATAGTTACGTCATGTTTAGTTTATAAAGGCATATTTTGGTACAAATCTTGAAGTGGGCCAACTGAAGTGGGAAGGGGCTCGTACAGGGTGTTCCTTAACGATATGCGGATATTTTAGGGTGTGAATCTACATGAAAAATTAATGATAGTTTGCTTTATAAGCTATGGTCCAAAAATGTTACCTTACAAAAACTCGGGGTGTTGAAGTTTTAGGAAAAAAATGGAAGTTAATTAATATCTTCAAAACCCCTCCAGATATTTCACTGATATTTAGCACGTAGTGAAAGTTAATGAAGTCGCATATTTTTCATTGCAAAAATAATTTTTAGCTTTAACAGTGGTATGCGTACGGGTATTGACTTCGATACTTTTTAAGAAAAAAATGGTACGCCAATGGTTTTTTGCCAAATAAATATTATTTTTGAATTCGCCGTTCAGAACCATTCTATTGTCCGAGAAAATTAATGTATTAATTCGAGAATGCAATTTAGCAATAAATATCTAGTTGCTCTGGAATATGTCACTGGCTTTTGACATCTGACAAGTCTCTGTTATTCAAATCTGATCGCTGTGACATCTTTTCCATTATTTAGTTTTTACAATTTTGTTGATAATGGTGAATTATTCAAATGCAGAAATGGCGGAAATGCATTACGTATATGGCCTTGCCGACGATAATGGTGAGCAAGCCAGATGGATTTATCACCAGAGATATCCCGATCGTGATTTGCCAGATAGTCTAACCTTTTCTAATATTCATCGTCGTCTTGTTGAAACTGGTTCTGTCTGAAAAGGAACATCTGAAGGTAGACCTCTAAGTGTGAGAACACCTGAAATTGAGGAAGCAGTGCTGCACGAAGTCGAAGAACATCCTGAAACGAGTACGAGGAAGATCGCTAGACACTTAAATATTTGCCATTAAATTGTTTGGAGAATTTTAGTGGATTTTTTGTTATATCCTTACCATATTTTAAGAGTACAGGCATTACTCCCCATTGATTTTCCAAGGCGTGTGACCTTTTGTCAGTGATATATTCAAAAAGTTACACAAAATCTGCAATTTGAATCAATGATTCTGTTCACGGACGAAGCTAATTTTTCTCGAAATGCCATTCATAATTTCCACAATAATCATTTGTGGACAGAAGAAAAACCCTATGCCGTAACCAAAACCCATTTCCAACAACAATTTTCGGTTAACGTATGGCAGGAATTATTGACAACCACTTTATTGGCCCATTTTTCTCGCCAGAACGACTTGACGGACAGACTTACCTCAATCTTCTTCAATAACAGTTTCCTTTGCTGCTTGATGATGTTCCGTTAGTAATAAGAAACAATATGTGGTACATGCATGATAGTGCACCAGCGCATTTCTGTGTAGCGGTTCGTAATTATTTAAAAACTGTTTATCCAAAAGAATGACCACCAAAGTCCCCAGACCTCAACAGTTTAGTTTTATTTTTGTTTGGCTATCTTAAGACACTAGTGTACACAAGTCCCATTAACACTGTAGAGGAATTAAGACAAGGAATAGTTGCAGCTTGTGAAAGAACACTGACACACACTCCAGAGGTATTTCAACGTGTGCGCAATTCCATGAGAAGGAGGGCGGAAGCATGCATACTAAGTTTCAACAATTTTTGTAATCATTTCGTTGGTTTTAATGTTATGTTTATGTTGTCAGTTGTTGTTGTTCATTACCCCTAATGTGTTTAATTCTTGCAATTAAATTAATAATAATTTTGCAAGTTAGAGAATAGAACAGTTTTTGTTTTTTCACTCAAAAATGGCGCATCGAAGAAAAACAATTCAATAGAGATCATTTGTTTTAAATTGAACGAGGAATTCAAAAAATAATTTTTATTTGGCAAAAAACCGCTGGCGTACCATTTTTTTCTTAAAAAATATCGAAGTCAATACCCGTACGCACGCCACTGTTAGAGCTAAAAATTATTTTTGCATTGAAAAATATGCAGCTTTATTAACTTTCACTGCGTACTAAATATCAGTGAAATATCTGAAGCGGTTCTGAAAATATTAATTAATTTCCATTTTTTTGCTAAAACTTCAACACCCCAGTTTTTGTAAGTAAACATTTTTTGACCACAGTTTATAAAGGAAACTAACATTAATTGTTCACGTAGATCCACACCCTTAAATATTCGCATATCATTAAGGAACACCCTCTATAACATCTGAAGAGACGGACATCGAAAAAGCATGTGATCAATTAAATGAGCTCTTAGAATCTTTAACATTGAAGTCTGAGAAGTATTGTCTAACACTAAACCATTCGAAAACAGTGGTAATGCTCTTTGGTAGGAGTAAGGTTCGGAACAGATGCCCAAGTAAAATAAATATTAGCGTAAAACATGAAAAAATTATTCTAAAAGATGTAACAGGAAATTTTGGTTTGCATCTAGATTATTCACATTATTCACATCTGTGTTAAAAAGATGATACAGTAATCTTAAAATCCCATATAATAGTAGACGTAACCTTCCCACAGCAATCGAAGAAAATTCTGGTGGAGGCTTTAGTTTGTCACGTGCTACTTATGTAGATGTACTGATTATGTCATTCTTACTTAAACGCGATGAAGAAAAATTGCAAAAACTTCAAAATGCATGCGTGTTTCCCAACTCTATTCCAGCCTACAACTGTTACGAATGAAATAAGGAGGGAGCCTGCATTCAATTTGTATGTTTCATAAGATTATCTTCAAACAAACGCCTGCTTAACTATATAACAAAATTCGTTACAGAACAGACGTCTACCTACACTCTCAGCCTGCCTTATAGACACTTAATGTCTACTCTGTACTGTACATCGTTTTTCAAAGATTCTTTTTCTTACAATGTCGTATGGCTGTATAATAGGGTACCGATTTCACACAGGAGTTTGTCTATGAATTATTTGAAAAAAACAATGAAGCGTTTTCTATTGGCTGATACTAAACATACTAAATTTAACACCTTTTTCTGTATATACAACCGTTTTTCATTTATGTTTTTCTTTAACTCTTTTTGTATCAAGTTTCTTGCTTGTAAGGTACCATGGTAAGGTCTAGGTGAACAAATATTGTATTTTTTTTTCGTTTGAATTGAAGAGTGGATCTCTCTATACGGTAGTAAGCAACTAGAAGTTGCTGAGGTTCTATGTATTTTTTGTGTGTTTATCTTATCATTAAAATCCATTTATTATTATTATATACTATAAAGTGTAAAAATAGCGTCTTTGTCTATATTTGAGGTAATGTAGCATTGCGAATTATTTTTCTGCAAAAACCCATAGATCTCATCTCAAAGTACAAGTCATGCCATTTTAAAAGCCTTTGAATTTACTTGAATATCTTTTTCTTTAGCTGAGGTATGGCGGAGTTTCAATTCTTCTAATCTATATCGGTTCAGCTTCTGCCAGAAGGAAGTATTTTTTTATTTATAAAAAGTATGCAAACGAAAGTAAGAACGTTAAACTTGGCTTTGAAAGTTGTGATTTTGATTAAAATACAAAAAAAAATTGATAAGTTAACGTATTTTTATGAAACATGTCAAGTAAGAGAACCCATAAATATCTGTAACGTACCCAAAGCACAGGCCAACAATCCACCCTACCATATCAAGGTGCAGTCTAAGATTCTTACTTCCGATTTCACATTTACTTAAAACAAAAAATTTGCTTTCTCCTGATAGAAGCTAACCACAGGGTTATTACGTAAAAACCTATATAATGTCAAAAAAAAATCGATAAAACGTCAATTTGTGCACTAGTTAGCCGCCAATAAAATCGGCGCCTATCACAGTCGGGCTGAGGTGAATATAATCTAGTTCAAAAGACCTTTTGCGATCTAGATAAGAAAAATGAAAATTTCAAAGTCCCATACCTCACCAAGAGAAAAAATTTTAAGCAAACTCTACGGTATTTGAAAAGGGCAAAGCTTGCACTTTGAGATCATAACTATCTTTAAAAAAATAATTCGCATTGCTAAATAACCTCAAATATACGCAAAAATCTCTGTTTTTGCAGTTCTCATTTTTATACATTTTATTTATATTATAAGACTTATTTATTTTTTCACCACATGCATCTGAGTGGTAAATAAAGATAAAGATAAAGATATAATCTGATTTCTATGTACTTAGGAGGATCTGTACACTTTTGTCGGCTTGTGTAGTTCAGGTTAGTGGAAATCCCAATAATAATAAATGAAGGCTGACTTGAAATACAATGTAGCCAAGTTCCTCACTTCTCCCAGGACTTGTAGCTCACACCCTTCTATATCTCTAGGCACTCGACAAAATATCAACAAGGCAGATGCATTATTTGCTGTCGTCCCAGTACATTAAACAATTTTGAATCCACATCACATTTGCGCCACGTCAAACCAAACATCAGCGCGCGATTTTCAAATTATCGCGCTCCTATTGGACAACGGGCCGTGATTGAATGAGCACACATTGATAGACCAATAAAAGGATTACCCCTTTGTCAAGAAGGCGTGAGTGAGGTCCAAATAGTGATTAAACGGTTTTGCTCTTATGTTTATTTTTTTGTGGATTTGTTTAATGCTGACGCGCTCTCTTTGAATAAACATTTCTCACCGTTATCACCATTTACTTCGGCTTCCAGCTCAAAAAAAAACCATAACTATTTGGATTAGTACAATGCTGCAATCGAATAATCAAGAAATGAACGAATAAAAGGAGACAAACTAGATGGAGGAAGAAGGAGAGGAAAGGAAGAAAGGAGAAGAGAGAGGAAGAGAGAAAAAAGGATGGAAGGTGTAAAGGAAGAAATACAATAGGAAGAAATAAATTGGCTCATGTCAAAATGGTTGATTAGATCAAAACAGAACCACGACAATATAATGAAGGTAAGGTCTAGCATAATCAGCAACTCCACCACCGCTCAAGCTGAACCCAAAAAACCACTCACCGCTAGCGACCTGCTGGGGCCTCCTGCCTCTCCTCTGATGGCTGGGCTGCAGCCCCGGGGCGCTGACAGCCCTTTTCGGCACCGACGTGAGGCGGTTCAGACCGGGAGGTCGGTATCTCGCGCTCTTCACGTTTTGGGGGAGGAACTGGTACATGCTCTGGCTCTTCTGCATGGCAGCTGTGGCATTGGTAGGGAGACGCGGGAGGGAGTTAGTGGACTGGGCTGCTACGCTTTGGAGGCTCCGCGGGAGGGTGGACCTAGTCGTGCAAGGGAGAGGAGAAACGGAAATAAAACAAATGAAAATGATAATAAGGTTTGAGAAAATGGCAAAACTTTTTTTCATAACATCGTCATATTAACAGTATTTTTGATCAATCAGATAACGTCATCTTATAGTCGAGTACCAAAATGAATGACAGCTACAGTACGTCACTGCTAACGATGTGTATCTTTGTGTACGTGCGACACCTCTCACCGTATTCAAAGTCACAACGCGTTAGCAGTGCTGTACGATGTTTTACGTTACTCTCTTGCATCTTGAACTTTGAGCATAGAATCAAATCAAATGCTGCACCACTCGAAATATGCAATTAAGGATTTGTATACAAGGCGCAAAAGGTGTCCTTCGTACAAAAATTAAAATTTCAATATCAAGAATTTTTTAACTCAAAATGAGATTTTCCAAAAACCGAAGAGATCGTCAAGCTTACAATCAATGTTTCTAAGATTTCGGGATTAAACAATTTCGCACTATGTGCACACAACGTATGTAAGATACTTTTGAAATTTTCCAAATTAGATATCAAGATGCACTGATCTGTCCTGTTAAAAAGATTATAACCGGAATGCCATTTTCACATGCAGAAATAAAGAGAAAAATAATGATTGATGAAGCAACAAAAATATGAGCAAGGACCATGCTTGGTAACATTTAACCCAAATAAAAAAATAATTTTAATTATAAACATTGCGTCAAGGGTTGTGAAATTAATATTGATACGATTCCCATCATGTATATTCCTACGAATCACAATGTATATATATAAAAAAAGCTAAATGAAAATAAATTTTCCAAAAATCGTATAATACAGAATTTCATATATTCATATGTACATTATCCAACAATACACTTAAATCTTACTCTATTTAAATGAATGAATCCGTCACCGCCGTGGCTGAATCCATAGTAATAGATTCCAATATTTTTTCGTGACTTGCAAAAATCGTTTGGTAAGTAGAGCGTCGCATACCAAAATAGTTTTTGACAAAATAACAACCGTTCGTGTTACAATCTGAAGATCTCCTTGCAAAGATTCCTTTTACTAACCGACTATCCATATCCTCATCCTCATCCTCCCCATCAGCAGACCCTCCGGACCCGCAAGAGGTCGCGTCAGGTACACTTGACCTCCGCCTATTTGGCCTCGTCCACAACTTATCCTCACTATTGGCGCCGCCTAGAACAATAATAAAGAATTATCGACGGAACCTATTATTCAAACTGCGATATCGTATTGCGTCACATGACAGTAGCCTTCAGAGTTCGGGTGCCTGAAAACAGTAAGCACAAAACGAAAAAATTTCACTGCAACGAAAACAAAAATAGAAGATAGAAGCGATGATGACAGGAATACATGAAGAAAGGAAGAAAGGAAGAAAGGAAGAAAGGAAGAAATGAAGAAAGGAAGAAAGGAAGAAAGGAAGAAAGGAAGAAATGAAGAAAGGAAGAAAGGAATAAAGGAAGAAAGGAAGAACGGAAGAAAGGAAGAAAGGAAGAGAGTAAGACAGTAAGAAAGTGAGAAAGTGAGAGGGGAAGAAAATGAGAGAAAAGGAGAAGGTAACGAAGAAATGAGGAAAGAGAAGGGAGAAAGAAAAAATATTTCAGGCTGATTATACATACCTATGCTCCCGCAGCTCCTAACTCGATCCAGCTGCTCTCGGCTGAGACTCTTGTGGCTGAACAACAAGTCGCCAGCTGAACGACGCTTAGCTGCGATAGCCAAGGCGGAAGCGGAAGCTGAGCCTTCGCTGCCCAGCAAAGATAGTTTGTTTCTCGAGTCTGTAGCGAGCAAAGCTGATTCGAAGCTGCCTCGCCAGCTGAACCGTTCGCAGTCACTAGCTTCACGTTCTTCGCTAGCATCAGCTGTTCCAGATTGACTAAAAGAGAAGTTGATTGATGTAGGCAAGTACCAAAATGGAAGAGAGTGCGCCTCTGCTAAGTTGATGTGTCTATGTGTATAGTATTTCTAAGCACAAACATAAAGAATCAGAGTCCTTAAACGATTAATAAGTTTTGTAGTAAACGCTACAGGGACCAATTATATTGCAATGAGTGCAGTTACGTGAAGAAGCGGTGAAAACGAGTATTTTGGCTTACTACTTCTTGTCGTGTCGAGCATTACAAATTCTAGCACTGTTATTAAGAATCGTGGACGAAAAGTCGTGTATTGAAGACAATGTGGTTCCAAGGGGCTTAGAGGACATCTGGTGACGATAATACTCGTAAACGTTCATGTTAACATAATTTAACATTTATCTCACGATTTAAATGTCAAAAAATTGGAGGTTAGCGTTTACGTATGTGGTATTTGTGTTTGACAGAGATGTCTCTTGGAACATCCTATCACTGTAAAGTGTGTAAGACAGAGTTCTCTTTCATGTATTAGACTAAATTTATTTTTTTACTGTTTCAGTTATGAATAGAAATACTATAGCAGCACGCAAATTCATCCTAGTCAGAGTCAATGAATATCTCCAGAAACTTGCTACAGCCCCTTAAAACTTGGATTGAAGCTAACAATGTATTACTAAGTATTTGAGATATTTAGCCTAGCGAATACATACATATTTGACAACTGGTTAAGGTATTTAGTTACTAAATCACATATTTAAACTTACTTTGTGTGGTCCAACAGGTCGTGTGATCGACTTCTGGGCAGTAAATTATACGTGTCTTCAAAAGCATCAGCTTTACTGTCAATCTGGCTGACGAGCTCCGGTAAGTCATCTTCAGTTGTAGTGCTAGAGGCGGAAGAGATCTTGTGTTGCAGTCTTTTGTGGTAATGCTTAGTCTTGGGACTGTTACTAGCATGACTCTCTCCACTGGAAACCTCATGCATTAGGGCCACTAGCCTGCTACCAATATGGTGCATCACCTTGGCGATCAATGGAGGTGAGCCATGGGCTGCTAACTTGGATACGTTCACTGTTTCGCTGTCTCCGGTCGCCATTTTCTCGAACGAGGCCATAAGCTTTTGGTACACAAACGCAGTCTCTTTGTTGAGTCCATGGGATTCATCTATGATACCTCCATCACCTTCATCTCCCTCATCGTCTATTCTGTTATCAAACTTATTGATTATTTGTTTACAGCTATCTGAGATCTGTTGCTGCAAAGCTGATTTAGTAGAAGCACCTTCTAGATCAGAACTAGTATAATCTGAGCTATCATACGAATCACTCCAAGTATCTTCACTGCTCAAATACTCCACAATCTCCCTTACCTGTTCATCTTTGATACCAGGTACCGTCTTCATTAGCCTAGTCAATTCGTTTTCAAAATACACCAACTGTGGAGGTTTGCACCGACCTTTGCCAATAGGCTTAGGAGAAGTTCGTAGAGTTAAGTTAGGAGTTGTGGGCTTGGAGTTAGGAGCACATTGCGAGTTAGCTACCATGGTTTTGAAAAACTGGCGCATTTTACACATCATGAGGTTGGTCTCTTCGTCAGAACTCCAATTGTTGAAGCTGTCTTTCCTAGTAAGAGACGTTGCTGGAGGAGTTGACAGGGAGGCTATCCTTTCATCTGGTTTAATTCTCTCCTCAGCTATATTCTCGAGCTCTGTCTTGAGCTCGGCCTTGGTAGTCAAGTCAGGAGTGCAGTTATCCCGTTGGTCTTTGAGCAAGTCATCACAACTACCTATGAAGCCACTATCCCTGCTTTGCTGGTTCTTATTCGTTGCTAGATTCGATGGCATGGGCTCAGGCTGAGGCGTTTTGTTCCTTGGATCTTCATCGTCTAACTCATTCTCATCTTCATTCACCTCTTGAGTCGTTTCAAGATTCTTGGACTCGTCAGCTGGAGAAGTCGCGTTTTTATGCTTCTTTCCTTTCTTTCGTTTGATCGTGTCAAATTGTCCATCAGATTTCTCGAAGTTGGTTATCGTTACGTCATCGTAAGCGTCTGAATCCGAGCTAGAGGAATCTTCAGAGTTTACTTGAGGTTCTGCTGTCTGTTCATTCCCAGCATTATCCAAGTTGTCTAGAGACGAAGAGTGTGACCTTCCGGTACCTCTAGCTCTAACCAATCGTTTCCTCCTCTGTTCAGGACTTGGTCTTCCTTCGCTATCACTTCCAACGCTTCCATCAGAGTCTCTACGTTCTGCTGTGAATCCCATGAATCCACTGAGGAAGTACTTCTCCAATCGGGATGAGGCCAAGTCAGCTGGATCAGCCTCGTAGCTCTGTTGGGTATCCTCCATACCTCCAAGAGACTCGACCCCTTCACTATAAATACTGCTTGTCTCTGACATAGCATCTTCTCGATTGGAGTTGAGTGACGTAGCAATGCCATCTCCAAGACCGAAGAAGAAGTACTTCTCTAGGTCGGTGGCAGAAGCAGGTCGTTCTTTCTTTCTCGGTGCAGTTTGTTCTACCTCGCTCTCTTCTCCTTCACAACTATCCTCCAAGATGGTATGTAGGGTAAAATCAATAGCTGATCGATGGTATCCCCTAAGCTCGTCCTCTTGATCAATGGCTGCTGAGCAGGTAAGAGTGACCTCTTCGCCTGACGAGGAATCTTCAGTTGGTGTGTCTTCATCATCATGACTAAGATTTTCCACCCAGGAGTCGTCATCGGCGAGGCCTTCCTCGAATGCCGAGAGAGTCTCGCTGCCTGTTATCACTGTCACGTTCTGTACCGTGTCTGAAAAAAGATTTGGTGGTGGATAGTTGAGGTCGTCCGGAGGTTAGACCAGAGAAATATGTGTCTGCCAAACTATTTTGATTAATTTTTCATCTTTTCAGGCAAACTACAACAAACCTTGATTATAATGACTAAATATCAGCGTGTAAGAAGAAACGATAAATGGTAAAAACGTTAACTTAATTCAGCAAAATATATCCGTCTCAAAAAAAAGAATAATTGTTATTTATTACAATATTTAGGTTGTATATCAACACTACAAAACCACGATATATTGAGAGAGAAATGATTGAATACTGTGACCGTGACTCAGAGATCTGACACAGCAGACTTCAAGTTTTAATGTTTTTTGTATTATTGGTATCAGTGTGTGTGTCTTATGTTGGGAAAAAGACTGATTGCCTCCCACATTACTACTAATAGTGCCTACTAGTATATTACTAATACTAATGATATTTCATTGTCTTGTTCTACTTAAACATCAGTTTTTATCAATCATTTGATTTCGAAGAATGATCCAGCATTAGCAATATCCTCCTAATCGAGGTAACAATAACTGTTTTCAATCAGTGAACTGAAATATGGTTCATTCATGTGTACATAATGGAACGATATGGTAAACATGAATTAACAAAAGAAATCTAACAGACCCATATTGTAACCATGAAATCATTCACATTCCTCCACACAAATTGCCACAGGGAAAGCAAATTTAATTTTAATTTCTTTTGCAAAGTTTTCGATTTAACACGCTTGTCTCTGTAATGAGAACCACTCAATGTCATTCAATATTCCAAGTTGGTCGGTTGAATACGTTTGTTTGTTGCCGTGCAAACGATTGTACAGATGATTAAGTATGATTATAGAAAATTAAATGCATATAACGAGAGCTGGTACGTAATTTACTTGAAAAGATTATGACATGAGATTGGTATTTATTGTGCGGATGGACAGCTATTTTCTTGAAGCACATATGAAAGTGGAGCAAATGAAACTGTTGGCTAATCAAAGAAGCTTGGAAAGGTCACAATTCACAATGAATCTCAAGTACGCTGCCCCTTGCCATGTCCTGGCTGGTCTAATGTTTCGGATATTTAGGTCCACCGACCAAAAGCAGAGGTTCATGTTGCACAGCGACGTGTCACACATTTCCTAGCATGGAACCAACTGTAATATGCATTGATTAACATATTCTACCATATGATATTAATTTCTTGAAGTTAATTTTCAAGGAAAGAGATAGAGCGCTGTCTAAATTTAAAACCAATCCGTCTGTTCAAAATTGGAATAATTACAAATCTTTGAGAAATTATGCATTACAGTCGTTACGGAATGAAAAGTCTGCCTTTTTGGAGCATTTACAGAATCAGCGAAATTCCTCTTTATTATACAAATCTTTAAGAAATATGCGCGTTCAAGCAATTAAATCTTCTGAAGTCCCATCAACACTCACAGACCCTTACAAAGTCAATGAATACGTTACCTCAGTTTTTCAAAACAGTGATGAAGCGTGCTTTGAAAAAATACTTTACTACAGAACAAATAACTTTTTGCAAAGAAATTCATTTTCTTTTAAGCTAGTTGATTTAGATGTGATTAAAACTGTTATCTGCAGTATAAAATCCAATGCTTCTGGAACGGATGGTATCACGTTACAAATGTTAAAGTTATGCTTTCCAGTAATTGGCATTCATCTGCTACATGTTATTAATATTTGCTTGGAAACTAGATACTTTCCCGACCTTTGGGAGACAGCTCTGGTGACTCCTCTGCCGAAATTGTCTAATCCGATATCCATCGCTGGCCTCAGACCAATAAGCATATTGCCAATAATGTCTAAAATTTTAGAACGAGTAACTTATATACAGATTCTAGATCATCTCAATGCACATAATATAATCCCCACCCATCAATCAGGCTTTCAGAAAAACCGCAGTACAACTACAGCCTTGTCTTATCTCAATGATAGCACCATATCTTCCATCGACAGTAAAAACATCAGCTTGCTGGTACTGTTAGACTTTTCCAAGGCCTTCGATACGCTTAACCATCGACTACTTATTGCCAAGTGCCACTACTATGGCTACGATGAAGTTGCCTGCAACTTTATTAGGTCATATTTAAGGGAACGTAGGCAAAAAGTAAATATCTGTAATCAAATTTCGACATCAGGGTACATTCAGTCAGGTGTTCCACAAGGCTCAGTACTGGGACCATTGATGTTTTTACTTTACACTGCAGATTTGCATGATAACTTCAAGAATTCACATGCTCAATTTTTTGCTGATGATACGCAGATGAAGTGTGATTTTAATGCCGACAATGTCCAGGAGTCCATGATGCTAGTAAACGCGGATCTCGATAGTGTTAATAGGTACTGCAGCTCGCACAACTTGAGACTAAATCCCTCAAAATGTTCTGCCATATTATTTGGCAATAAAAGATTATGTGAAAACCTTAAACCATTAATTCACATCAAAGTTAATGGGCAGGAAATTATTTTTTGTGAAATAGTAAAAAATTTGGGCATACACTTTGACTTGGACTTACGTTTCAACTCCCATCTGAATAATGTCTTGAAAAATTGTTATCTATCCCTCAGGCTTCTAGTTGCAAACAAACATATTCTGTATAGAAACATCAAAATTAAATTGTGTCAAAGTTTAGTTATTTATAAAATGTTATATGGCTTATCCATATATTACCCATGTTTGACGTCTATTAACGCAAAACGTTGGCAAATAATGCAGAATACCTGTGTACGGTTTATCGAAGGCCTAAGAAAGTTCGATCATGTATCACACTTGTATCGCAATCTTGCATGGCTAAGCGTTCAAAACCTTTTCAAATACTCCATTTTCAGCTTTACTCACAGGATCATACTAACATCATCCCCTCAATACCTCAGCTATAAACTTGTTCCAAGGGCGTCTGTGCATAATCTTCAGGTTTGTAACTGTGACACCTTATGTTAACTATGCCAATACACCGCACATCACTTGTTAGACGAACTTTCACATACAATGCAATTTTATATTACAATAGCTTAAGCCAGCATCTGAAGACTATCCAGTCCTCCGGAGTTTTAAAACTCAGTTAAAAAGATATTTACAAGAATTGCAAAACAACCGCTAGCTTAAGAAGTTCTTTCATTTTCATACTTTTTGTATTTTTCATTAATTATTTTTCCGTTTCTTCATAACCTATTATCTCTTCTTCTTTTTATAGCTAAATTGGCACAAATAGTCCTATTATAATGTAACCTATTATCTCTTCTTCTTTTTATAGCTAAATTGGCATAAATAGTCCTATTATACTGATAGTTAATCTTTGTAGTTTCACATTTTTTTTTGTTTTTGTATAACTTGTTTTTTTTCACTTTTGTACGGGGTTAGATGGTGGAATAGCAGGTGCTAAATCTCGCCCCATGTAATGTACCATGTTTTGGTCAATAAAGACGATTATTATTATTATTTGATTCAGCGGCCAGAGTGATTTCAGCATGGAAACCACCTTATAAGTTTTAGGTGTTATATTATATAACTCTGTGTTCTAACGCAGAGTGGTTCATTTATGCGAATTCCTGGTAAAAATTGAGAAAACAAGGCATCCAAAATGAATGAGAATTATTACATACTTTAAAATTATTGCCTTTAAACAGTAAATTGATCATAGCATCAGAACTTTGCTTATGCTACCTTTAAGGCAAAATTGGAGTGTCATCCGTGGTAATCTGTTGAAAGTATGTTATTTGAGCATTTAACTGAATATGGAACATAATAGGGTGAGTACGAACTTTTATTTGGGGTAATATAAATTTGTTATGCTAGATAAAATATAGTGTCGTTCTTTTGCTAACTTTTGCAAACTATTATGGCAGGTGGTCCGAAAATGTTAATCAACTCAATTTGTCCTTTGTGTGTCTTTAAAATACGCTTCAATGGCGTTTCCAGAAACAAACTGATCTCTAATTTGGAGTGAACGACCACAAAAACCTCTATTACACGCGTCTGGACTCGACTACTGGACTTATTTTGAATTCTATACTGCAATGTTTTAAAATGATTGAATATAACCCAAAAATATATTTTAAAGGTAACTTATTAAAAAATATCTTTGTTATTTAATGAAAAAATATTCAATGTTATATCCTTATACATACTTGCTGTGTACAAATATATACAGGGTGGCGCATCGAAAACGAAACAGACGCATTTACTGGCAGCTCAGTTTTTTTTGACAAACGCTCAGACCCGTCGATTTTGATTTCGAGGGGGATACAAGTTTGGCAAAAAATCACGCTAGCACCTGCAGCCCCCTAAGCGGGGGTGACACCACCCCAAAATCTTAAATGGAAAGGGGGGTCGAGTGATACCTAATTTTAAAGGTCTTTCAATTCCCTTTATAATGATATAAATTTAATGTACTTCAGTTCAGTAGTTTTGAAGATTTATTGGTTTAAAGCTTAAATAAAACTAATACATCATCGTTAGTGGAGATCAATACATTTGGCAGCAAAGTAATTTAAAAATGAAGAATGAACTGACCCGTTAGGCAAGTAAATGTTGAAAATGGCCACCATGACTCTCCATGCAATAATAAAGATTTTGCTCAAAACGTTGCCGCACATTTTGCAATATTTGAGGAGTAATTTGAAGGCACTCATTCACAGTTCTTTGTCGCAGGTCTTCTAATGATGTTGGCTGAGTAGCATAGATTTTGCTTTTTAAATGACCCCACATAAAGAAATCCAAAGGTGATAAATCTGGCGATCTTGGGGGACATTCAACGGCACCTCTTCTACTAATCCATCGATCTGGAAACGTCTGATCTAAATATTGTCGAACACTTAATGCGTAATGTGGTGGGGCACCATCCTGTTGTGGAACATCAACCTATTCGCAATGTGCCGCCGATCATTCTGATTTTCTATTATGGCTGTTAATCTATGGCGTCTTCCAGTAATTCCAAATACATTTCATCGGTCAAATTTCCAGGTAAGAAAAAAGGACCAACTAAATGATCGCCCAAAATACCAGTCCAAACATTTATATATTAATTTTTCGTGGCTGCTGTGTATCAACCTCATGATAAATTCTGGGATTGGAATCGGACCAATATCGGCAGTTATGACGATTTACTACGCCATTTAAGAAACAGGAACATTCGTCGGAAAAGCAAGTGTTGAATAGAAAATGTTCATCGTTTATAATTCGTTCACTCATATCTTCACAAAATTGTAATCGCCGATCAAAATCGTCTTCATTAAGTTCTTGCACCAGGTGAATTTTATACGGATGAAAACTATGGGTCTTTAGAATCCGTTGGACAGTACGTCGACTAACACCACACACAGTCTCCAATTTGCGGGTACTTAACGTAGGATCTACATAAACTTGCCCTAAAACCCCCACCTCTATTGCTTCGTTCCTTATGGGATTTTCAATGTTGCGTTTTTTATTGGCGACTGACCCAGTTTCCCGAAATTTAGCTCAAGTTCTAGAACATATTTTCGATGCACGTTACTGTTCTCATGTCTCGCATTAAATATTTCTGCTGTTCTATTAGCGCACTGATTATTTCCGAAAAATATTTCGATAATTTCAACTCTTTCTGCTGTCGAATATACCATGGTTAATTTATGTAATAAAGCATTACAAGTTATCTTAGCAACAAAGTTTGATCAAATCAATCGCAAACTATGTACTAAGTTCCTATTTAAAATAAGTACGAGATATTTCCTTATCTTTCTTCGAGAAATAACTTTTTTGCCACAAAAAAACGCTCCAATAGCTATTTTCAACAACAAAATGATAAACAAACCATGGGCGTAGTGAAGAAAAGCATTTACTTACAGAGTAAATTCTTTTAGTCAAATTTCTTCTGAAAGTAGTACAAACTAATCTGATGTACCTTAAAGTCTACTTTAAGCTTTAAATCAATAAATCTTCAAAACTGCTGAACTGAAGCTCATGTATTTTACATCATTATAAAGAGAATTGAAATACCTTTAAAATAAGGTATCACTCGACCCCCCTTTCCATTTTAGATTTTGGGGGTGGTGTCCCCCGCGCTTAGGGGGCTGCACGCGCTAACGTGATTTTTTGCCAAACTTCTGTCCCCCTCGAAAACAAAATCGACGGGTCTGAGCGTTTTTCAAAAAAAAAATGAGTTGCCAGTAATTGCGTCTCGTTTTCGATGCGTCACCCTGTATATATGTTCATAAAAGAAAAGTTTATATGTGAATCAATATAACATAATATGTAGAATCGAGAACTTTTGATACCGCTGAGCTATAGAAATATTAATCAACGTTATTTGACATATCTTGGCTCTATATACAGGGTGACTTTGAAGTTGAGTCATTAATTTTCAGATAATGATTGTAGAAGGAAGATAAACCAAAATATGTGTGTAAAAATAAAAAAAAAATAAAAAAAATGTTTACCTTGTTTTATAAAGTATCCTCCCGACAAGTATTTCAGTGCGGACCTGTATTTGATCGTGAGGTCTTGGAGCACCGGCATGCCGTCCATATGTGAGGTCTTAAGTCAAATGATTCACGAACCCGTTGTACTACATTAACAAAGGCACGAGGGGTTGGTTGCACTCGATTGGGAAACCGATCCGCATAAACATGTGCCATTTTTTATTTCGTTTGAGCCACGCAACAGACACCACTATCCACTACCGACTGACACTGACTGTATACAACGGAATGAAATAATTGTAAAAACATCGTTCCAAATTCTTTCGCTTTTTTGTTTCCGATGCGATGAACCGATAAGGCGGATTATATCCGCTGTTGCCAAACACGAGCACATAATATTATTATTGAGACAGGGTGACTTCGAAGTTGAGTCATTTATTTTAACAGTGAGTAGATCTGATTAAAAGAAATGTTTTTTTCCTTTACCATTTTTCTGGTAAAATTAAAATAACAAAGTTATAGCCCTTTGGAAGTTTGAGTACCGCCCTGTCTCAATAATAATATTATGTGCTCGTGTTTGGCAACAGCGGATATAATCCGCCTTATCGGTTCATCGCATCGGAAACAAAAAAGCGAAACAATTTGAAACGTTTATCACGATGTCAGTCAATGTTTCAGTCGGTAACGCGTTAGTGAATAGTGGTCTTTGTTGCGTGGCTCAAACGAAATAAAAAATGGCACATGTTTACGAAAATGCTGAACTTGTGAACTTGTGGACATGATTCTTATTTAATCGAGTGCAACCAACCCCTCGTGCCTTTGTTAATGTAGTACAAAGGGCTCGTGAATCAGGTGACTTAAGACCTCACAGAGGAGGGCATGCCGGTGCTCCAAGACCGCACGAACAAATACAGGTCCGCACTGAAATACTTGTCGGGAGGATACTTTATAAAACAAGGTAACATTTTTTTTTAATTTTTACACACATATTTTGGTTTATCTTCCTTCTACAATCATTATCTGAAAATTAATGACTCAACTTCAAAGTCACCCTGTATATATATATATATATAAGATATAACACTCTACCCTCACAAATTGGAGAATCAGTACTCAACGCGTATTCGTAAAGCAATGAAAATTGTAGGGTAGACCGGGGACAGTTGTACCAGGGGTCAATCGTAACATTTCAAATATGCCCTAGAGTGAGACCGCTATATAAACTTCGCTCGGATGCGCGCGTCACCAAACAACTGCGGTTCTGATTTCAGTGTGCCGGCGGCCATCGCTGAGAGCATTTGTATCTTAAGTGTATTTGTTCGTTTCCGCACGTCAGAAGTAAGTTTTTATTTTTTTTTCAAATGTTCGTAGTTCTTTTTTACTGCATAATATGCCTGATGTTTTTTCTCAATTAGATTATGGGTAGTGTTAACTACTTTCTGTAAGAGTTACACAAAAAACACAGCAGTGCATATTACAGAAAAATCCATTTTTGTTTTAAAAAGACAGTTGGGGTCAATTGTAACAAATCGTCAGGGGACGATTGTACCGCTACAATTGACCCCTGATTTGTATTTGTTTCGAAGAGGGTTTTCTTTTTATTTTAGATGCCACGGAAAAGGATTAATAAAACGGAAAGAGCCTCACGTGATCTATCTTTATATGAATCTGCATATGATGTGGTACTGTCTGGAACGTCAATTCGAGCAGCTGCAGCCCAATTTGGTCTGTGCCGTGTGTCCCTATTACGTTATAAGAAGAAAAGAGAAAACTCAGTCGATTGCATTACAAAAGTTAGTATGGGATACAAGCCCGCTAATCGTGTTTTTTCAAATGAACAAGAAAACGAAATGGTTAAATATATCAAGAAAGCAGCAGATATTTATCAAGGTTTGTCGCCCAAGGATATAAGAAAATTGGCACTGCAATTAGCAACAAAATATAATTTAAAAATGCCCGAAAAATGGACTGAAAGTGGCTTAGCCGGTGAAGACTGGTTTTCTGGTTTCATGTGCAGGCATAAAGATTTATCTATAAGAACACCACAGGCAACAAGTCTCTCAAGGGCTACTAGCTTTAATCCTACCAATGTTGCCGCTTTCTTCTATAATCTGGCCAAAGTTATGGACCGTGAAAAGTTTGAAGCGAAAGATATTTATAACGCCGATGAGACCGGGATTACTACAGTCCAGAAGCCAAACAGAATTGTAGCTAAAACTGGAACTAAGCAAGTTGGTGCTATCACATCGGCAGAACGTGGCACTCTGGTTACGCTGACTGTTGCCGTTAATGCGCTAGGGAACTCTATCCCAGTTATGTTTGTTTTCCCAAGATTAAGATATCAAGACCATTTTGTTCGGGATGGTCCTCAAGGTTGCGTTGGAGCCGGTAATGGGTCTGGATGGATGCAAGAAAAAGAATTCATAGTATTTTTGAAGCATTTTCAACATCATACCAATTCATCTCAATTCCATAAAGTTTTGCTACTACTAGACAACCATTCATCGCACATCACCATCGAAGCATTGGATTTCTGTAGAACGAATAGTATCGTCATGCTTTCGTTCCCTCCACATTGCTCACATAAATTGCAGCCCCTAGACCTCTGTGTATATGGGCCACTCAAGAAAGCTATAAATTCTAGTTGTGATGCGTGGATTCGAAATCATCCAGGGAAACCTATGACGATATATGATATCCCAGGGATCACTGCAACAGCTATTCCTCTTGCACTAACACAGAGTAACATTCAGGCTGGTTTTAGATGTACAGGTATTTTTCCCTTCAATAAATATATATTTTCTGAAACAGATTTTGGTCCATCATTTGTTACTGATAGACCCTTACAGCCATCAGAAAACCAAGAACTGACTGTTAATAATGAGCAAACAGCTAACAGCAAGCCTCCTGCTGAGCTAGAAGGTGTCAATACAGGTATCCCCTGCTTAATTGATTCAGATAGTGACGAAAATATTCCGTTGTCTGCGTTTCGTTTAAAGGAAGGAAGAGCAGATGCGATCCTTATCAGGACACCTGCAAAACTTTTACAAGTTCATGACGAAGCCACTCCAACTTCGTCAGAATTCGTAAAAGTTGTATTTTCCCCAGAAAACGTTAGACCATTTTCCAAAGCTCCACCAAGAAAAGGTACAATGAAAGGAAGGAAAAAAAGAAAGTCCGCAATTTATACAGACACCCCAGAGAAAATAGAAATAGAGAAAGAAGTTGAGGAAAGAGAAAAAAAGCGAGTAAAAAGAAACTTAGGCAGTCAGGGAAATAGACCAAATAATAAAGTTCCTAGAAAGAAAAAAACTGGATCGGCAGAAAGCAGTGAAGACGAAAATGAATATTTTTGCCTAGTTTGCGTCGAACCTTATGGGAATAGCAGAAAGGGCGAGAAATGGATCCAGTGCACACAGTGCAAGATGTGGTCACACGAAGAGTGTGTAGGACAAAACTTGTTCTATGTTTGTCACAATTGTGAGTCAGAGTAATTGTCTGAGTTGGGTATCTCTTAAAGAAACAAGATTGATTTTCATATTTTTTTATTTTGCGTTTACCGTTTTTAAGCTTTTATTGTTCTTAGCTTGAATAAAGAGTTCAAGTTTTTGTTTGCCGACATCCCTTTATTATTAGATATAGGTATTTGTGAATTACAAAATCCAAAATATTGTTTTAAGTTAAATATTTGTTTTTTAAAGATTTTTCTTGTGTATTTGCTCATTTATTTGTGACAATACGAATGCTCATGTTTTATGCCAAAGTATTTGTACAAATTATATATTTGCCGAGTTGGTTACTGCGGTAATGTTTAAATTTGATCAATAAAACTAGTTAAAATATATTAAATATTGATGTTACAATTGACCCCCTTAGCTGGTACAATTGACCCAGGGGCTGGGTCAATTGTACCATTTTACATTATTTTTTAAATGTTAAATAACTTCTAAACGTATTATGTTTCATGCATTACAAAAACCGCATTTTGTAGACTATTAGTTACGTTACTTTCAGCCATACCTTGCTGACTGGTAGACATTATAATTTGAGAACATGCGAACAATATAGGCAAAATGGTACAATTGTCCCCGGTCTCCCCTACATCTATGAGAAATACACTCAGTTTATGAATCTATTTTAAAATATTACTCAACATTACTAGTATCTATTGTATTTTAATATATGAATATACCAGTTAGGGTTTATTAGTTGGATGCTAATGAATATTTTTATTGCTGATATTTATATAAAACCCATAATTTCGAGCACATGCATTAGCTAGGCATCTAATGATAATGTACTATATACTAGATAAAAAATATGTTATACCGCATTTTTATAAATTTTTTCGAACAAATCTATGAACTATATGGCCTTGAAGTAACCTTCAAATGTGCTCATAGAGACTAAGCCCAGAGTTGGAATCAGCTACCCAAAAAAGCCATGTTTTACCTAAAACCGAAAAAATGTCCTTGAAAGTAATATTTTTCAGCTGTTTGATGTTCTGGACCACTGTGTGGTAACCAAAAAAGCATCTGGCACCTCCTAGCGCCATCTATGATTCAGTATCAGAACATATGGATGTAAATCTATCGAAATGCTACGTTCTCCACCTGGGAAAGAATAATCCTAACTTCACATATAAGATTGGCAAACATACCTTCATCACACAGATCTTGGTCTGACAGTTAATGGCCGGCTCACCTGGTCGGAGCACATTCAGAACATAACCTCTAAGGCAAAGCGGTTGCTATATATGATGGAAAGGTCATTTAGCGGTTGCACCGTTAGTACCTCCTCCTTTTTGTACACAACTTTCGTACGACCCCTACTGGAGTTTGCTGGTCCGGTATGGGATTCAAACCTTGTTCGCGATAGCAGCTTATTAGAGGCCGTTCAGCATCGTGCTACACGTATGCCATATGGCACACGTAGGCCAAGTTATGAAGACCGCGTCGAGCTATATAACCTGCCTGCTTTTGCTGATAGAAGAGTACGAGGAGATCTCATCATCACTTTCAGAGCACTGCATAATTTGTTTGGTGTGGACATGTCGCATCTGTTTCGTCTGGCAACGAACAGTCTCAGAGGCCATAACTTCAAATTGCAGAAGGAAGCTTTTAGAACCTCTACTCGTCAGCGCTTCATCTCAAACCGTGTCTTCGATGCATGGAACAGTCTTCCATCTTATGTAGTGAACTCGGAATCCGTCAACAGTTTCAAAAACAATTACGATAGACACCGCAGTGCTTAACATATTGTTCCCATTCTGTATATGTCTACTTCAGAAGTGCTAAGATTGTCAAATTGTTATATTTCTTTTGTCTGTACACTATTATCTATTTTTGTGTTTGAGTTTATAGTACTTGTACTCAACTCAAATTTGTTGTTTAATAATAATAATAATAATATACCGAATCTACTTTGGAGAGAATTAGAGTGTTTGTTTCTGCTGTTTTGGCGGCTCTAACATATATTTTAGTTAGGAATCTTCAGGCATTGATTAACCCAATTAAAATAGGTATAAGGCAGTAAGCAAAGAAAAATATACTATTTGGGTGGCTGTTTTCGGGTAGGATACGTTCTATATGTACAGTCGGCGACTGACTGAAGCCGAGCATTATAAGGTAGTGTGATGTAATACAAAAATTCGCTAGTGAATCGCTTAATCGAGCGAAGAACAGAGCCGCTCGCGTCGAGCAAGTCGGGTTCCACTGTCGATTTCTTGACGAATCCCTTCGATGATTACATTACATTTCAGTACAAGTGGATACTAGTTTGTCTACGAGCAACATTCGCGGCAGTCTCCTAATTTTATTAGTTGAGATAGAGTTCTGAACACACGTTATTGATCGAGTGGACCCAGGAGAAAACTATTTTTTATTGATTTATGTCGTATTAAAACATACTATGGTATACGCAACATGCGGAATATTGTTATCAAGAAACATGAAGCGTGGCAAGAGATACCTGCAGACACAATCTACACACGTTACTATTTACATTCATTTTTTCCTTAATTTTATCTTCGTTGGGTAGTCCTGAACATCGCTGCTGTAAATAGTTGCCTGAAATTGAACACCAGCTGCTTCAGCTCACACTTTGTAAAATAACTCTTACGCAAACTAGAATCTTAAAGTTACGGCTCAGAGGAAAGCCTTGGGTACACTAGAAGAATTCCATGTATCAAGGAAAAAATGTAGAAATGAGATTCTTTACAAACACTGAAATTGTCCACAATTCAAGATATAATCTTGCAAGTGTCATACCATTTTGGAATCATTATTGAATGTGCCAACTTTTGAAATTACTTGCCAGATTAGCGTAGTACACTTTTTTTTCAGTACAGTGAACAAAATTGAGAAAAGATTTAAATTTGAATACCTGTTTGGGAAAAAAGTAAAGCAGCTGGCGTTAAATTTTAGCCAACAATTTACAGCAACTTTACTCAGAATTGCATAATAAAAATGAAATTGAGAAAAAATTTAAATTTATAGTGATGAGGACTAAAACATCATTACAGGGTGTAAGTTTTTTCGATTTTGAAGCAACACTAGATACTTCTAGGTCCGACATTTTGACACAGACTGCAGTAGAAAAATGTGGAGCATTCCAGGTGAACATTCGCTGGACTCAAATCACGAACTTTGTAATGTAACGCTCGGAAACAGCATTAGGATGAAACGTTTCTTCAAGAAAGTCTGTATTCTCATATTAAAAACGCCAACGAAATTCATAGATAGTAAACACCTCGCTTTTGAAAACAAGAAGAACAAATTCCCACCATATTCTCAACGCATTCCATCAAACGACTCAGTTTACTTAAAGAACGCCTGAAATACCAAGCTTTCCTTTATGTACAATTTCCGTTCCACGCTACATATTTTCTCATTTTTTTCCACGCCATTCTTTTTCATGTCAATGTTCGTATTCGTTGGCACAGATATAAGGAAACGGCATCGCTGAAAAGTATCTCACGTTATGAATACGTAAAGTCTCATCACCTTCCGTTCGCGCTATTGTTCTCGACACGAGCGTGCGTTATAATTGATTTAAGGTTCGATTCCGCGATACTCGGCTGTTTTTAACATTGGAGTTTCCCTTCACACGGCCTGTAGCTCTTGTGAAAACAAGCAAACACAATATTACCTAATATAGGGTGGATCATCCAGCATTTAAAACCAGCGAATTCAGAATAGTTAAAATAAGCAAGCCTACGATTTGCTTGTCTCCAAAATCTTTGTAGTCAGGATGAAGGTGCATACTACAGTATATTCAGATAAGAGATAGACCGGACATAAACAAGACCACGTGATCATCGAACGCTGTAACATTCGGCAGGGACGTATTAAGAGTCACGCAGTACATATTTTAGATAGTAGATGCTGCTTTGCGTAACTTTGTAGTAAATTAGCACAATTCGATGTGTATACTATTGGTGATGGATATAGGATCATGTGGGGGTGGGGTAAGAAATATATAATGATGTAAATATACATAAGGGTTTCAAAATTTTCGCTTCGATTTCCAGCTTCGGATGCCGCATGATGTTTGGTGAAATACAGTCGAATATAATCTCAAAATGGCGTTTAAATTAGCCTAAATTAAAAATAATCGTATATCTCTTAAAATTGCTTTTAGAATATTGATTAGTATATTTTTTGATTTCTAGGTAAATATGTAACCAAATTAAAACGTTCAAAACGTAACAAAATGTGCATGGTTGAACATTGTCAGAAAGTAGATTCTTGAATAGGTTTTGCCAAAATGGGTTCAAAAATGTCAATAATTAATTAAAAAATACAGTAGCTTTATAATTACTTATAACTTACCGAATTTGATGAACGACATCTTTTATTGGAAAGATGAGCTTGATGAGCTTTCATCATCGCTACTGCCTGAAGCACCAACGTCAATAATGAATGGCTCGACTTGTTCCTCTAAAATATTGTCCAGTTCCCACATTCTCTTTTCAACTTTGTCTTTCACGTGCTTAATACAGTTTTCCCATTTTTGCACTGTTATTAATTCTAGTGCTTCTTTGAAAAGTCCTTTGAGGTCACAAAATTTAAAAGTTGTATTGTGCTTAGCTATATAATTTTTAACCTCTGGCCATATGAGCTCAATGGGATTGAGCTCGCAATGGTATGGAGGTAAACGGAGCACAGTTTTATTTTGACTTGCTGCCATTTCGTCAATGGCGTATTTTTGATATTCCGCCTTGTGATCCTTGACAATTCTTAATAATTGTACTTTCAGCATTGCTTCTTCAAAGTTGATATTTTTCGAGCGGAGCCAATTTTGAACATCAACTTTCCTTGAAGCCATTGTTGGGACCTTCTCCATTCTTCGAGAATGACAACACAACACAATTACTGCGTTTTCCTCTAAGTTCGGTAAAATTTTTGAAAACCACTGTTCAAACGATTCGCTATTCATTTCCTCGTGGTAATCTCCAGTTTTCTTAGACTCAAAGCACCACAGACCGTCAACA